CCCCCCCCCCCCCCCCCCCCGTAGCTTTTCCCCCTGCGGCAGCGAAGGATTCAACCGCGGGACCGGAGCTCCGTTCTGCTGCCCGGAGAGCGGCGGGGATGAGGGAATAAAGCGGAGTGAGGGGGGGGGGGGGGGAACCGGCGTGCAGCGCCGCTCCTGTCCGCGTCCCTGGACCCTGGAGATGCGTTTGACGGATCCGAGCGGTTCCGAAGCGATCATTGAGCTGCGTTTGGCCGCAGGAGGAGGGCGGAGGGCTGAGGGCTGAGGGCTAACGGCAACACCCCCCCCCCCAGCCCCCCCAGCCCCCCTCCCGTGGTGCAGGTCCGGATCTCTTTGCTTTCCATCCCAACGTCGGGTCGCGGTGCCGTTCAGGCGACCCCAGCCCCGAGCATCCCCAGTTCGTGCCGTCGGGTGGGGTGGGGGTGATGGGGGAGGGGGGGCTGTATGTGGGTCCGTGACGGTGCTCTGCCCCCCCAACGCAGCCTGCCCCCCACCCCCGTGTCTCACAGGATCAGAGGAGGGGGCTGCCCACCCCGCGAACCCGAGGATGAATGCTGGGCAGGAGAAGAGGCCCGGCAGCCTCACGAGCCCCACTCTGCGTATGGGGCAGAGCTGTGGGGGGGTTGGGGGGGGGACACCTGGGGGTCAGAGCCGCTGCGGGGACGGGTTGCGCGTGCTCGGGGCCTGCAGCTGATGTCAGCAGCGCAGATAAACAACGGGAGAGAGGCGAGGACAAGCGGCTCCTCTGTTCCAGACCCTCCGTGCGCAGCATCTCCATCCTCCGGCGCGGTGGGGGCTGCTGGGGCGCAGCCTCCCCCCTCCCACTCCCCCCGCTCCATCCCACGCTGTCCGTAGGGTGGGCAACGAATTGCCGGCCTGGCGCTGTGGGATCGGAGCCACGCGGGATGCGGGATGAGGGATTCGGCCGTCGGGGCGCAGCGCCGGGAGCAGCCGAGCAGCCCCAACCCTCCAGCCCCCCCCCCCCGGGGGGGGGGCCCGGGGTTCCCCCCCCCCGGGGCGGGGGGGCGCCCGTCCCCGGGGGGGTCCCGTCGGGGGGG